AGAGGGACGGAGACTGCATCTGGAAATGTGTTCACTGCTTCAGCTCCCTACAGAAGCCAGAGGTACCACCAAATAATACTAGAACAGGCCAAAGACAGAAAAATCGCAATGTTTGTCATCCCACCTGTAGAATGTGACACTATTGATATTTAATATGACATCAGTAAATATGCAATCCCATGGAGCTGACTCATAGCAAATGTATTACTTACACCTGCAGTTTTCATACCATGACCACAAATTGTGTTCTGTGGAAAAATTAAGGCTACATTTTAGGTAAGGTAAAGAAATATGCTTCATTATTTGGCCAACAATTTCAGTACCAGTGAATGATGATGAAGGATCTGAAGGACTGTCAGTGCTGCTCAATAAATCTGGGTCACAGGAGGCTTTGACCGCACATTAGGACAAGTTTTGGAGCAGATTTCTACAACAAAAATATTTGAAAATAGTTATACTGTAGCTTTAAGGGAAGGTGGGCAAATGTGGGTCTTCCCAGCACTGAATCAAATGCTAATCACATCAAGTTCCATTGTTTTAATGAAAATTCAGTCCATGTAGTCTAAGATTTCAGTGTAATCACTGATGAAGCTGTAGTGTGACCTTGTTATTTTCCTTTGTCTAGAGTATAAAAAAAATCAGCAGTGCAACAGTGACACATATCTGATTGCAAAGTGTCTTATTAAAAATCCAATTAGGAGCAACAACAGAGGACAGTGTATCGCTGATCACCAATGCAGCACCAATATTATGCAACACTGGATTAAAGGGTATGAAATAGAGAAAAGGGTTTATGTGTTTTCTGCCATGAGATGGAAGAGGAGCCGGATACAGTAGCACTCTCATTATGAGAACCACCACTAATCGTTGTTTTTACATTTTAGTTTAATGCATATGAGATACATGAGGTATACAGTGCTCAATTAGCAGGTTTTAGACCTGCTCGGCTGGCAACTGCCTGTAGAGCTTCACATTTAACAGACCTTCAGCCAAGTGTTATCAGCCCTCTCTTCTCATATAACTCTGGGTGACAAACTTAATGGCAGTCTGATAAGAAGCTGCCTACTGCGCATGACGTTATGCTGTTTTCAGCATATTTCACAAAACTGTACAAGGCCCAGTCTTTTAAATAATCATGCCAAGAGAAAAAAAAAGAATTTATGATGGTATATCTGATGAAACACAGCTGAGGAGAGACCTGCCTGAACACTCATGAGATTTATAACGGCTGGTTTCACAGTGTGTTTATGATCCGTCTGCTCTGCTCTGGTTGATACAGACAGTGTGAGTCAGTTCACACAAAGCATCTGCAGGACACTGGACTTTAATTTACAGATTCAACGGGAGCAAACTATTTTGTTTGCACTTGTGAAGATTAAAACTGATCGCTAATGAAGTCAGAGCTCACTGTGTGTTCAGAAGAGCCTTTCAGATTAATGAACGGTTTCCTGCCAGCACTAAGTGAAACGTTCCATCACCATGCAAGGCACTCGCAACCATTTCTGCAAGCAAGAGTTGCACTATTACTACACTGCTACACTTTTTGGGATAATTTATATATTTAGAGTCTATATCAAGGACTGTTTGAAGGCAATGCTTTCTGAAACACTTGTGTCTGCAGCTCATCATTTTGTAAACATGCATAAGAGTTTCCAGACTATGTGGTACAATTTGCACTCCCATTGCATTAAAATCATTGCTTTTATATTTTATAAATATATAGCTGTTCACCTCTTTAAATGTAAATTTATTGTGGACACAGTTTGTTCAGGTCTTAAATTCAATAATCATGGGCAGGTTTGCCTCCCTGACAAACAACGTTTAGCTTTTGTGGTCAGCGCCTTTAGTATCAGGGGAGTAACTGTACAACGGGTTGGTGAAGGATAGCTTGGCATCTCTCCAGGTCAAACCCTGCTGTGGAAGGATAAACACAAAAAGACATGCATCATGTCACTAACATTTGCACAGATGATTAAGAATAAAGATTGAGCAGAAGCACCTCACCTCCACCTCCCTCCTCCAAGGGTAGACACTGATGGAAAGCCCCCGACCACCTCTCCACCAGGGGTTAACTCTGGAACAACTGCCTGGCCTTTCATCCAGAGATGGGAGCTAAAGGAAAGGGAAAAAAATCACGAACGGTCTTAAAATGAGATGAGCCTTAATGTGTGAAAGTGCATGAAATGCAGACGCAATTAAAATCAAATTGACCCGTTACATGACCATAATTACACCTCTAATGCCCATAAAACATCTCATCATCTTTTAGAGGTGGAATAATTGTGACTGTTTCCATGGCTCGGTTAAATGAGCACTGAAGCGGATCTGTCTGTTTTGTGGAGACACCAGTTCACACCTGCACCTCTTTATTTATAGCTGTGTCCTCACTGAGAGCCACATGAAAGCAAGCATGTACAAAGATGCCAACACAGACAGAATATATTATGATTTATGTGTATGTGTTATAGAAAAGGCTGTTTTGTGAATGTCATACATGTTATTAGTAGCACATACGTCTATAATATTCTGCATTTCATCAGGACTCACATGTACACTTTTAAATCATACATTAATCTCCATCATCAGATTCAGGACAGTTGTGGCTCTCAACATTACTCTTATCACTCGATGACACTCCCACGCAGAGAAAAATGTGTGTGCATGCTCACACATACAGCACATTCATTTTTCATTACCTTGACACACACACACACACACACAGTTGTGATTTTCTCCATTTGTGTGGCCACTCACTGACATTTTGCATTCGCTAGCCACTTATCCTAACCATCACAATTACATGTCCAACCCTAACTAAGCAAGTCTTAAAGGATAAAGTCGGTCATTTTCTATATTAACAGAATTTTCAGCACTCCACATATAAATGACTGGCCTTATCTTTTACCCCTCAAACAGCCCTTTAAGTTGTCAGGACTTGAATATTCATGATACTTTAAGTACATTTTGCTGATAATATTTTTGTATGTTTACGTGACTACGATTCTGAATGCAGGACCTTTACTTGTAATACTACGATTCTGAATGCAGGACATTTACTTGTAACAGAGCATTTTTCCATCGGTACTTGTACTTAAATAAAGGTGAATACTTCCACCACTGCACCTGTGTCCTGTGTCAAAACCTAAGGTGTTCCATTTGGTTAGGAGTATATCAAAGTGCTGTTAAATAAACCGATTATTTTTTGGCACTGTAGCTTGTGATGTTGCATTTGATCAGATTATCTGATGCAGTTATTGTGTCCACCTGCTGGATATGCACTCCAGTGTGTAGCTATGTACTGTATATATAACCCACACCACACAAAAGCACAAACATGCAGCTGCATATAAAATACAAAAATCAATAATCCTAACTCAAAAATGTAATCTAGCTGAAAGGCTTGACAATCACCTTCTGACCTCCTCTGATGTTAAATCCACTTATTGAATAAATGTGGTTGAAAAATTAGTTTTATACAGCTGAGAAACCTAATTCTGCTTTAACGGAAGTCTCTGATGATTGATTAGACATTTTTGTGCTCTGACCTCTGTTTTCCAGTCAAAGGCTGGGCTATCCATCACCCCATAATCCATTGGGTCAGGCTTTCTGTGGAGCCAGCAAATGCACTTTCATCAGGAACATCATCATCAGCAAAAGGAGCAACAGTGTCACTGTCGTAGCCAGAACTCACATTAAGTAGCATTTTTTCTTGTACAGAGCCAGAACACAAACAGCAGCTACAGCTACAAGCAGCAGAAGACTGATGGCGATACCAATATACACAGCACCTAAACAAGATGGAAGCACATGTAAGAGTCATATAGAGGATTGCCTTTAATAAAATGCAGAGAAATTAACAGGATATGCATATATTTAGAGCCAAGGGCAGAGGCGGATTTCGTTATTACCCAGCTGTGTGTCCTCTGGTTTTGGTGTCAAGGTAGAGAGAGACGGCTTCTCCTTCACATGGCACCGGTTACCGGTCCATCCTGGATAACACCTGCAATCAGATGCAAAGAATCAGTTCAAAGATGTGAAATTGGTGCTTGATGTTCTGCAGGGGTCAGTGAATCAAACTAATTTTATTAGCATAGCACCTTTAACATGGTTTACGGGTGGCTAACAAAGCAATACAAGTAAGAGGCAAAGGACAAGTGCTGCACACCAAACTTCCAGCACCAAGCTAAACCTCCTCTCCCAACCACCACACCAGCCACGTCTTCTCTCTGTAAACGTATTTGGAGGCAGAGAAAGTGCAATGTAACAGGGAAGTGGGACAAGATTTATTCCCACAATCACAGACTGAGAAAATACAGAACTGGGAAACAACCTCAGAGGCCATCGTCCTCCTCTTCAACATGACACTCTGTAAAGGCACAAGGACTGATTACTGTAAATCTGAAATTAAAGAAATGTGGTAACACTGGCAGAACAACAAATTCAGTAATAAACCCACAGTCATGAGCTATTGTATGTGTGTGTATTGCACACACTCACTCTGCCCTCCTCATTTCTCTGGACTGAAATTACTTTGAGTATCTGATTTTCTAGACTGCAAGCTTTAATATGTTTTCTTAGCACATGTAATATCTAATAATCCTCAGGTTAGTGTTCCAAGATTCAAGATCCATTTTTATTGTCGTTCTTCAGTGGTACATTACAATCAAATCCTGTTCCTCCAAGCCCAACAGTCCACAGATTAAAAAGCAAAAAACATAAATATTTATGAGGTAAGAAGAAGCGTTGCACTGAAGAGGAAGAAAACTATAAATATATAAGAGGAAAAATATGTAAAAGGGGAAAAAAACCTAACTTGGCACAACTGTTTCTCTTGCTCACATTTTTTCCTTGCATCCTACTCTTGTTCACATAAAATGCTGCATTTCTGGGATACAAAGTAAATTCCAAGTCAACATCTGCTCAGTATCAACTTGATTTCTTTCAACCCTGACCTTCTAATGTGAAACACACACCTCTCTGCAAACCCAGACTGGGTCATTATCATTCAGAAGGAGTCAGGGTGCTTTTTGTGTGACAGCGGGCTATCCGTGGCCTGGGTCCCCGGTGGAACCTGTTCAACTGGAGGAGCGTGATGAAAATATTGAGCCAGAGATGTCCTCCAGTGTTCTGCTGCTATCAATGCTGGAACAGCTACAGGAGCTCCACACCACACCGTGCAGTGAATGACAGCAGTAAAATCTTTTTATATAATGAAAAGAGGCAGCAGTAGCAGTACCACACTGGGGAATGTTGGACAGGAGCAGTAATCAAACACAAGGAGTCAGAGAGAGTGAGAGGCAGCAATTCTGTAAAATATCTTCACATTTCAAAAAGCCAAAGTATTTTGCTGTTCCAGCATTTTCACTGGGATTATTTTGCAGTTATATGACAGTGTAATTGCTTTGTGGACACGTTCGGCCTTATGCTGGTATGAGTGTTCAAGTCAGATTCACCAGGCCTTTTTTTTTTTTTTTTACTCTGGAGACTTGTTGCAACATGATAAATGGAAACTGTTTATCAAATTTTATAATTAGCCTAATCACTGCTCCAAAAGTCTTACAGTCAGTGGCTGGAAATGAGCAAAATGAGCATGCCAGGGATTCTTTAATGACAAAAACAACAACAAAAAACAAGAGGAACTGTTGCCAAACATCTCAGTGAACTGGCATGTCATGAGGATGAACAAACAATTTTTCCAGCTGCACAATTCACATCCATTTTTTAGAGCACGGAACCTTCTGAAACTCTCGGAGAGGATTCACTGGTGCATAATAATGTTAGTAGATCCAGCAGCAAGTTTCATAATTGCATTCTTACATTTATAATGAAATATCTCATTGCAGACATTCCAGGCTGCTGAAGCAGACAACTAGATTCATAAAAAGCCTCCAAAAGAGCGACAACAGCGTTGACAATCCTATGCCAACCAACAGTCTCGGCAAATTAATCAGATGCATGAATTTTATGTGGTCTATACACAAAGTTAGCATGGGCTGTTTAAATATTGACCATGAGAATCAGTCAGAGATTCCCAGCCAACACTATGCTGGTGGATAAATGAAGGCAGAAGCACCCTGGTTAAGCTTAGTGTGGGGTCTTCAGATTCCCACATGCTTCACAGAGCACATCTTTTCCGAGAAAAGAAACACTGGTAGGATTTCCATGTTTTAAGTCTCAGAGAGAGATAAAAGATAAGAGGGGGAGTGAGAAGAGCAGATGTGACACGCATCTTTGTTTGTGCGTGTTTGAGCGTGACCAGTGTGTAGGTGTATGTATTACTCAGCTTATGAATGTATGTCTGGGTGTGGGTGAACTCACATGCAAACAGGCCCGTGTCTCTGCACAAGGCATAAGCCGCGATCCAGGCAATACACTGGGGGACAATCTGCAAATTACACAAAGGAAACTGACCATCACTGCTGAAGACTGCATAAAAAATATATGTCCACTTCCTTTCACTCCTCACCTGACAGGAAAAGAGCATAGATTCAAGCATGTCGCTGCTCTGACATAAGGATATCATGTGTCATGCATTAACCTCATTAGCATGTACATTAAACTACATCTAAATTCTTTCTCCATAGACTGTGTGAGGGTTAACAACGTTGCCTGTTAAATACACCCCAGTATGAGACCAGTCCTGCCCAGTCCCAGTAAAGTGGCTTTGGCTTTGCAGTGAATGCAGGCTAAATAGGAGGTTTGGTTTTATTCCTTAAAAGCAGAGATGTTAATAGATTTTGGCAGCATGTAGTAATGTGTGAAGTGCGCTTTGAAGACTAAACAGCCAGACTTGAAAATGACCAGAGAGACTTTCCTAAGGCTGGAAATGAGCAGACCTGAATGAAGCTTTGGCAAGACTTGAGTCAAAACTGACTAGTGACTCATGAGAGTATAATACCGTGAAAAGAACAGCAGTATGCAATAATGTAAACTACAACAATTTGTATTTTTTAAAATCCTTTTTGTAATAATACAAAATAAGACAGTCTGTCATCGAGCGTGAAAGCCATGTTTTAATAATATGTCACATAAATTTAAAGCATCAAGAGAATATGAAATTAAAACCTGGGGCTGGTGATGGAAGTGGTGGAAGCTACACAAAAAGTTTCCTCAAAGTGAAATGCTCAGTATGTAGCCCTCGTATGTGCCACTCGTTCAATGTCTTCAAGGTCAGGGAAGCTGTTAGGTTCCTATGTATGATCAGCATGCTCAGAAGCATCTTAGGTGTAAACTTAGCCTTTACGTAATACACAAACTTACAATATTCCCATCACACTGATAGTACCATGTCATTTGCAGTCATTATGTCATAATCAGTCTCAGTTGTGCCTCTGCCCTTTGTTTCCCCCAGTTCTACCTTGTCCTGACTCTCTCACATTGCTCACCTGGGGCCATTTGACTCATTAGCTGTTTTTGTATAAATTTTTCTATTCCTGTTTGGTTCCCCTGGATTTAATGTTTTGACCTGGACAGAATGCTTGCCTCTGACCTCTGTTTGGACTCTTGATTTCCCTATGTTTCCCCCTTCTGCATTTTGTCAGCGTGAAGTGTTGCTTAAGCTACAATTGTCCTGTTGTGTTGAATAAACTGATGAACTCTGTCTACCAGCCTGTTAATGTGTGTCCCTATTCCAGCCTTTTCCATTTACTTAGGAAAGGTAATAGTAGGCTGTTGTGTCACTGAGGAATTAGCTGAAGCTATGAACCCTCTGAGATGTCTAAACAACACTGCTTATAGCACCACAAACTTAAAAAAAGAAGACTGTTTGATGCCTTCAAGGTCAGGAAATCATAAAATGAACAATAACAACAAGCTTAAAAGGGGGGAGGTTGGTAAAAACATGTTACCGTGACAACTGGACTCATCAGAGTGGAAAGGCAGACAATCGGAGTGCTGGTCACAGCGCTTCTGAAGTGGGATACAACCAGGCAAACCTTCACACACCAGTTCTCCTAGCTCACACTGCAGCATAGCTGGTGGATAAAATTAGGGGCAGAGACCGAGAAAATTGATGAAAAGTGACAATGGGTGAAAAAGGTATTTGAGTGGTGCAGTCAGAGATCACTATTAACACTGGAATTAGATTTAAAACTGACTGAATTATCTTCATGATAATCATGTGGATATTACTCATGTAGGGGCTTCCTGCAGGAACCAAACAAATCAGTACATTTCTACTGCCAAAAACTTCATTTGTTTACTATTTGTTTTGGAACCGTCTTCAACCATTTGTAAATCTTTCCTTCATCTGTAAGTCAAACTAAGCCCTACTTCACAGACACATACATATACTGTACTTACAGCAACTATACTCATCCTCTCCATGGGGGCAGTCAGGGACCCCGTCACAGCGAAGTATGGATGGGAGGCAGAAAGAGTTTGAACACTGAAAATACCCAGCAGAACAACGGTCTTGAGGAGGAAGAGTACCAGGTAGTGAGGTCGAACAATCCTCTTCATCAGACTTATCATTGCAGTCTGGCTCTTGGTCACACCGCCAGCTCTCTGGGATACACTGAAAGGAGTACGCACACTGGAACTGGTCCACACCACAGGTCAGAGGTTGAGGAGTTACTGGCCCTTGAGTGACATAAGATACATCTACATCCGTAACTTAACAAACCCTTTTTTACTGATTTTAGTTTACACACAGCAAACATTGGTGAGTGAGGAATCTCAGAAAACAGTTATAAGCTATGATGCTAATGGCTTCCTTTGAGATCACAAGAGCTGCTTCCTCAGAAAGTCAGCACAAGACATAGTTCATGAGTGAAGGGAGAATGGAGGGGTGAGAGTGAGGAAACAATGCAAAATAAATGCAATTGCATTGTAATGTAATAAGCACAGTGTTGGAAGGACAGGAAATGAGGAAACAACAACAACAACAACAAAAAACAAAACAAAAGGAGGCAACAAGGGCAAAGGGGACCAGAGAGAGGGTGATTCTTTACCTCCTACCATACATTCTGCAGTGTAGGAAATGTCATCCAGGGCAATGTCTGTCCACATGTCTCCACCCACCTCCGCCTGGAAGGTCACTCTGAAAGGTGCCGGGTTGGACAGGATGACTTTAGCGTATGTCCACTGGTTGCCATGGTTGCCGGTGGCCGCCCACATCATCAGACTGGTACCATTAGGTCCAACAGTATAAACCTGGTGAGGTGCAGGCCAAGCACAGAAACTTTAAGTGTCATAACTTAAAATTAAAACTGAATTTTGTCTTTAAATAAAAAATTTTACAAAAAAAGACAACAAATATGCCATAATGAAACAGCAACATAACACAAAATCAACAGAATAAGAAATTGTAGGCTGAAACTTCTCACATGAATGCTTACCCTTAGTGCAGCACTGAAACTTAAAATATTCCCATCACATTAATGTGATGGGAATATTATTTGCACTCACTAAATAATTTAACATCAATTTAATAAACTTGCAGAAAATACACATTTTCAGCATCTCACTATAATTATAAGAGAATGATTTTGTTTTTATCTTAGACCTCAGCAGTACTGAAATCCTTACCGAGCTCTGGAGTTGGCAGCAAGTGAGAATAATTTACTATCTTACAAGCTGATAGCAATTCAGCTGCCTTCATCCAGTTCCTTGTGTTGTAGCAGCCCCTGAAGGGTCACCCCCACGGGTCTAGGCTGTGGTGATCATTTCTTAGTGTCCCCTGACACCCTTTCTGTATCTGCAGCATGTTTCATTATTTAGTTGTGCTTTCTCACTTTGCAGGATTTTATCTTAGTGCTGTGCTTGGGTTGTGAAATTGGCTTGTGTTTTGTCTATTTGCATGTGTTTTCTTAAGCTGCCATGCGCCGAGATCTCAAGGGCACCACAAATATGAGTTATGGCAAATTTGAGAGCATCTAGTCAGTGACTCCATGTGGGGCACACTTCCTGTCAAATAATTTTTTTAGCATTTGCTCATTGTTTGTTTTGAAATTAACCCATCTAACAAAGACAAGTAAAAAGACATTAAAGGATGGATATGATAATGAAGTTTGTAAGGTGACGTGCTTTGATAGATTATTTCCTGCCCGGCAGGCTTTCATTCCTTCCTGTGGGTATCGTGTGATTGACAGTAAGCAGAGTGTAATATAATGTAGTGAGAAGCTGAGCAGAACAGGATAGAAATTTCTGACAAAACTAAATTAAGCCTTCGCGTTGAATCTGATGGATCATCTGACAGCAAATGATGAAAAAACCCAAACATGTTTGATGCCTGATAAAAACTAAAAACATGAAAACATGAATCATTTATAGAAATGTTACTCAGATTAGATCACCTTCAGCGTTCCCATCCTATCAGAGCTGTGCATGAAGAACCAGAAACGCAGGTGACACAAGCCAATGCTGGCTGGAAATGGACTCCTGGTTGTCACCCTGGCAATGTCGCCCTCCCTCTGAGTGGCCGAATGTATGTACAGGAACTTCCCTCCACCCCCTTGGGAGATAAATATATTACATTCACATTTGCAGTATAGTTATGTAAGGTACAGTATGTGTAGTATTTCAATGTGATGAATGACAAAGCTGAGGCGGTAAAAGAACAGTCACAGAAAAACTCTATTCAACCATCCAATTTTAGCTTTATTGCAGGAAAGAAATCCAATAACTTTCATCTGTTGCTTCCCGTATATATAATATTCCGACAGAAGACAGCATTTGTGAAATGTTGCCTACAAACAAAACCTTCATAAAGCTTCTTTAGCTTGGCTAGGCTCAGAGATAAGACAATATCTGTGCCATGGCAGGACAAAGTGGGTGTTTTCCACATGAGTTAAAAGGGATTTAAAGCCATCACAATCCACAGCTCACAGCAAACCCTGCTCCCACCCACACCACTGAATTCTTCTCTTCTGACTCAAAAAATACAAAGCCTATGCATCCATTCAGAAAAAAAGTGTTTTCTAAACCACTGTGTACACATATTGCTCAGTCATATAATACTGGCTGCAGAGTACACCTGCTTATTCATGCAACTATCCAATCAGCCAGTCACATGACATGATCACATCAAGCATGAGAATGGTGAAAAGAAATGTGATCTAGTGACGTTGGCTATGGCATGATTATTGATGTCAGAGTGAAACTGGTGATTTCTCATGAGTAGAGGCAATTCACTGTTGGTTTCAGTGTCTGTATGGGGACTGTTGAAAACACTATTTGTATAAAAAAATACACAGACTTGTCCCTTAATCTCAGTCAATCATAACTTGAATGCCAGACTGAGTACTGTATCATATCTGCCTGGAGCAGGAGTTGAATGATGTTATTACAGAGTGATAACACACAGAAAGGAGGTCCGGTGTAACCATGAAGATGAAGGTCCCCTAACCCTAACAATATAGTTACTTGAACCCACACTGAGCTTTCCCAAAACCAAACCTCAACCACAGCATTTTCACGAAACTGAAATAAAACAAATGAAGCCATCCTGCCAAGAGGAGAGTCAAATCAGAAACTGCAATTTCTAGGAGACGGGGTTGGCAGCAGAGAGGGTACTGACCTGGAGTGTGGTCAGTGTGAGGTCCAGCTCCTGGCGTCTCAGTCTGGGCACCAATCCTCCAATCAAAATCATCATTATGATCCTGATCAAGCTGGCAGGTGTCTTGCCACTGATCTTCCTCCATATTGAAATTACAAGCACCCGGTGAGCCAACTATATGGTCTATGTGAGAGATACAGACAGAAAGATTTGGAAGTAAAAGATGAGAGGTCTGGGTTGAAAACTTGTTTTTCTGAGGTACAATAAAATAGATTCACTTTCAAAAAGCTATTTCCCATTTCTACTCACCGCAGTCTACCTCATCTGATTCATCAGCACAGTCGGCCTTGTTGTCACACACCAGGTGGGACTCAATGCAGTCGCCACTCTGACACACAAAGTCTGTGGCTGCAGGACAACTAACTGGCTCCACAGCATCTATAAACACACAGGCAAATCCAGAAACAGATCTGAAGGGAGAGGAATTACGATTCATATTCTGATTTTTTTCACCAAGTAATATTACTTTATTGTTTTTAGGCCTTGGCCATTAGACTTTTCCTTTTCCATTCAAGTTAAATAGGAGAAAATGCAACAATGAGCAACTGTGTCTTATTAAACACAGCCTTAAACACAGAAGGAAAAGAGATGAGGTGGATCAGAGAGAGCACACACAGAGCATTATTATGTGTGAGTGTGTGTGTGACTGTGTGCATAGGCAGAGACATTAAATTACAACTGAAATGAGGAAGAGTTGGTTCCAGGAGGTCCACGGGGTTAATACCATCATAAAATAATCTCAAAACCCATTTAGGCATGCTTTTAAATTTGATAGAAGTTGTGTCTAAGTGGCATTTGGTTTTCAACAGTTTGCCTGCTTGTCCATCTCTGCATGCCTCTCACTGTTTTGAGCCATGTCTCAGCTTGTCTGCAGGTCAATATTTATGTCTATGTGTGTTTATATACTGTATGAATGCTAGAGAGGCCCTTGGCACCACCAAAAAACATCTCACATGGTGTCCAGCCTTGTGCAGGTCCTGTTTAATGTGTAACATCTGTCTTGGACATAAACAAAAGGGGTCAAAGACTGTCATCACAGAGACAATCTGACTTTCCTCCTGTTAAACAAATTAGCTGTCTTTTTCCTCTTTTCTCTGTCCAAATACAGAGTGCGCCAATGGCAAAATCAATGTTTATAACCTGAACTATTAGTTGGAATAATAGAAAATAATGTCAACATTAATATCTCATAATAAAATCTCACTTGTGAAGATTATTGGAAGTATGCTTAGATAAAACAAGGGCAAACGATAGCAGGAGGTACTGTTTGTTTAATGTGATTTGGGCCACTTTGGCTTTAACCTAAATGTATGTTAACAGGCTAATGTTTAGCAGGTGTAATATTTATCATGTTCATTATCTTAGTTTAATGTGTTAGCATACTAATTTTAGTATAGTGGAGGTTGATGGAAATGTGATGAGTTTTCCAGGTACTGTAAAATGAAGTATTGGACAAAATTTATGTGATGCTAAATGAGAAGTCACCAAAGTGATTAAAAATTATCCTGAGGGGAAATACTTTTGTGTACCAATCATGTTTAAAGATGCAATGTGTGTACTGTTTGTACATGTTACCTACTTGGGGCACAATCTATGTACTCCAGATCATCCAGGGCAGCTCCTCCACTCACGTCCCTCGAGCGGATCCCCTCAAATATCACCTCGAAGTTCCTCAGCTTCCTCAGGGGGACCTCAGCTTGGTTCCACTCGTTACCCTGATGCCCCGTCTTTTTCCACAGCTCCAACAAATTGTTCTCGGTCTGTGCAGGAAAGCAGTGTTGACAAAAGACCATCATGTGGTGGTGTTTTGCATACTGCTGTGGTTATACAGTACCACTAGAGCTAACATCAACGGTTCTCTTTCAGAGCCTCAAAGTGGATTCAGAGCTACAGTAGTAATATCTGTCAGGATCATACAAGTTGAGAATCATAGAGTCACATGTCCAGATTGAAAACCTTTATGAGCTGAAATTAACTTGTGGGGACACGATTGCTGCTGAGAAACAGTGAATGTCTTCTAAGAGGAGTTTGATTAGTCTTGCACTGTAGTAATATGCTCCCCTGCTTTGAGACCTGCTATTCAGACTGAAACTGTAAGGGTAATGGATTTCTCTCATGCCACATATGGAACATATTAAAAGATAGACCAAGTTGTACTCATTTGTAAATCCTCTGTCTTTTCCCATGGTACTTGGCAGGCACTAAATCAGGACTAAAACAGCTTTGAAACAACAAGTGTGACTTTGATGAGGGTTTTATGGATGTATGTGTTTTGAGCCAGCATCTCATTGGCAGTTTGTAAAGATGTGTCAGTAGCATGAATGAGACATTTACAAAATCAGACCACATTAAATTAATGATACACATTAAACCAAGGAACATTTAAGAACAAAGGACAACACAGTAGAGAGCAGATTATGTTGCACAGCAGCTACACAACAGACGCATGAAGCAATGAATAAAACTAAATAAGCATCAAAATCATATCTGCTGATATTGTACTGTGTATTTTTTTCAACCAACCAAGAACTGACCAAGAAGTACTGTAAACCTCATTGTCAAAAAAGCTATCAGTGAATCATGCTACTTCTTTGCATCAAAAGGAGCCAGTTGAAGTGGTTCGGGCATCTCATCAGGATGACTCCTGGGTTCCTTCCGCTGGAGGTTTTGCTCAACGGAAGAGCTAGAACACAACTGATGGATTATATATCTCATCTAGCCTGGGAACACCTTGGAAAATGTTGCTGTGGAGATGGATATCTGGACTACCCTGCTG